ATCGTCCCTGCCCCCAATTTCCGAGACACCCGACGCCAACATTTTTTCCAAAACGTCTCATTGCACCTGCCCTGCAGACGTGTTGCAGCGGATTTCTGCCCGAAACGGCGAGCGAAAAACGGATGGAATTTCGCACGGGTTTTTTTGGTCTTCACTCCTGGCCAACAGAAATCCGCGCGAAATTCACTTCGAAATCCGGAAAGAACTTCTCCAGGGCATTCCGGGCCCACCCTATCGTTTCCCGAACGAAATCCGCTCTGCAATGCTGGCGCCATGAGCCTGGCCGAATTGTCCCTGCCCCAATTTCCCAGACACCCGACGCCGTTGTTTTTACAGAACGTCGACCCCCAGAAGTCTCGACCACCGGTTCTTCATCCTGAGACGCTTTGTGATTGCCCCGAGGCCCTGCAAGGGCCCCCAGAGGCCCCAAATAGCGAAAAACCTCTCGCGTTTAGAAAAAGGAAAAAAACGCCATGGGACATGATAAACTTTTGGCGCTCCGCGCAGACTTCTTAACCCCCCTCCCTTGCGCGCGGAGCGCGCCCGGGGAGACGCCAGAGTAGTCGCCAGGGGGGGCCCAGCGCGGATCCAAGAAACCCGCGCGGAGCGCGAAAAGTTTGTCTATGGCGTTTATGATTATTATGTTTCTTCTTCTTCTTCTTCTTCGGTGGGCGTGCCCGCGGCCGGAGGCATTCCCATAGATCCCCCACCCCATCTTTACAGGAGGAGCAGGAGAGGACGAGGGGGGCCGGCAGAAGAGGGCTGATAGGAGGTAGGAGCCTGTATTTTTCTCCCCCTGGAGGTCGGCACACCTGCCGCGGAAGGTGCGCAAAGAAAGCCGCAGGCCAGCTGACCGGTTGACTCGGACCACCAATCAGCCCGAGGCCACGTAAGGAAAGCGGCCCCGCCAGGGAGCCAGCAGCGCGGGTCCGCAAGAGGGAGCGAAACTGGCTGGCCACCCAAGGCAAAAGGAAAACAGCATTCAGTCCTCGTGGAGCAAGCGGCGCCAGCGCGACTGCAGCTGCAAGGGTGAAGACGCCGCCACGTGCGCCCGTGCACTAACGTCCGGCGGCGCTGGAGCAGCCGCCAGCGCGGCCCCTGCGCATGACAGCAGCAGATCGCGCCGCTCGTGCTCCTCGTACCGCGCATAGACGGCCCGCATTGTGTCCGGACGGCTCCAACCGCCCTGGGCCTGTATGATGTCTTCAGGGGCGCGGCAGACGACCTTCCACCAATGCGCGCCGCCTTTGCGGAACGAATGGGAAAGGATGGAAACCCTGCCAAAATGTCCGGCCAGAGACTTGCGGATCGATTCTGCGGACACCGGCCGCGCGCCAGCGACGCGGGTGACGCAGAAGACTGGGTCTTCCAGGCGATCTGGAGCCCAGATGCTGGTCTGGATTTCGAGCCATGTCCGCAAGAGAACAAGCAGACGCTGCTGCCCTAGCTGGGGCAGGGCTGGCACGTGACGGCGCATCCCTACGCGGAAAGGGTCGATCTTTTGCTCGCGCACGAACATCTCAGCGAAATTTGGCTGAAGCGTTACATCCCCGAGCTGCGAGGCTTGCATCTCAGAGACACGCCTGACCGCAAAACAACACAACGATCCCGCGGCGGCATCCCGCGCGCCTGCTGTGCTGCGCGCGGCCAGCCGAGCAGCCACGTAGCCCTGGAAGTCGTCAAACGACAGAGGGTGCTTCCCGCGACTGCGGGAAGTGGTCCGCGCGCTTCTTCAGCCCTCGCCAGACATGGGCGGCTCTGTCGCCCCAGGCTGCGTCGGAGACAGAACTGAGCCCCCGTTCCTGGTGCCACGCGCGAATGGCAGCGCGGGCCGTGGCAGCAACGAGCAACATGACCTTGGACTCGGCATCACACGGAAGGAGTGCTAAGCCGGACGTTCCTTGACTCGCCAAATAATGCCCTTGTCTGCGGGGCGGGGTCCGCGAGAGTCGGGACCAGGGCCTTCCCCCCGAAGTCAAGCCAGCGGCAGCGCGGGGACGGCAAACACCCCGACTGGGAAGGAAGCCCAGCGCCTGCGCCCCAGAGCACCTTGAACACCTTGACACACACCCGAAGCCCCTTTCCCGCAAGCAAGCTCCCTCGGAAAGGGAATCTTCTTCGAGTCGTGATGTTGTCATTGCCCATGGGGGTCTGGGTTAGCTTTAGGTCGGCATGTCCTCCCACAGGCTGATTTTGGACGCAACGTGACCTAACAATAATCAAACATATTAGTTCGAAAATACTAGAAAAATCGTCCCCATACTATTTCAAAACTCTTCCTGAATGCTCCTCCTGTAGAAGGACAGGCCCGACTTAAGATCAGCTGTTGCCAGGACTAGGGCTGGCCTGCGCGGGAGCGGTGCAGCAGCGAGGCCCAACGCCCCCCCCCGAGGTTTCAGTCCGGCATGTCCTTGGACCGGAGGAGCATTCAGCAATGGCTTAGAAATAACCTGGGGACGATTCTGGGATTACCTCCTCTGAACCTCTGCCTCCACCTCCTCCTCCCCATCCTCCTCACACTCCTCCTCCTCCTCCTCATGCGGCTCCTCCCCCTGCTCGTCCTACTTCCTCCTTCTACCTCGTCGTGGTCGTCCTCATCTTCAGGGTCGGCGGCACCGGCCGTGTGGCCTTCGCAATAGTCTGGGGACGAGTTTGAGATTATCTTGGCTCATTTTCCAATATGATCTGACTATGTCAAACTTTTCTTTCAAAATCCGCCTGTAGGAGGACATGCCCTACCTAACCCGAGGTGCTGATATCCCGCGACCTCTCCGCGGCGGGGGGCATCCGCGCCCGAGGCGGCGCGCGAGCCCCAGGCGCGCTGCCCTGCTGAGAGCGGGGAGCACCCCTCGGTCTATGCTGCTCCCATCGTACTTACGTTCGGAGGCACCTACTGGGAGATCTTCGTCGGAAGGACTGAGGAGGATTGAGCCCCATTGATGGGGGCTGTTTCGCCGGAGTGGGCCTCGGATTAAGCGGCAGTAGGCCGGATTAAGCGGGAGTTGGCGGGAATAAGCTGGATTTAGCAGGATGAAGCCGGATTTCGGACCAGGGCAACATCAGAATTTGACCTCCCAAGAATTGCATCCGAACTTCAGGACCACATCCCAAGCTTATCTTCGGGCACCGAGAAGAAACGCATCGAAACCGTGTCGAACGAAGATCGCCTCCCAGGGCCCGACACGTGAAAATCCTCAAGTTCCTGTTTTCTGGTGATCAAGGCTGTTTTCTGGTGCTCGATGTTTCTCTGGTGCTCGATGTTTTTTGGTGCTCGATGTTTTTCCTGGTGCTCCATGTTTTTCTGGTGCTCGATGCTTTTCTGGTGATCAAGGCTGAAGCAGGTTGGAACATCATAACCCTCGGGCACCACCGGTCCTGGCGCCTGGCTCGACCCGAGGAGGAGGGACGAGGAAAGCGGGGAGAAGGCATGCTAAAGAACATAGTGAAGGGCGATGGCCAAGAGAGCAGGAGGAGGAGGAGGAGGAGGAGGAGGAGGAGGAGGAGGAGGATAGGTCGCCCCTGGAACAGAGAGGACGATGGGAGAAGGACAGGGAGAAAGGCAGATGGTGACAAGCCGCACCCTGCGCCCTCGTCGCCCTCCTTCCGTACTCCTCTTGCCTCTCCACTTGCATCCCGCACGGATCCTGCATCCTCCTCCCGAGGGGGAACAATAGCGGGGGCACCGGCTCAGGGAGGGGAGCGTCGAGCTGGCACCCGCAAAGCATCGCAAGCAGATCGCCATGGGCCCCGGAGGGCGAATCCGCCTGCTCCTTCTCGGCGATCGGCGCCCTCTCGGCGATGAATGGGCGATTGGGGGATCGCTTCATTCGAGGAAGAAACATTGCACATAAACATGAACACTTTCGACGGTCCGCGCGGGTCTCTTGGATTTGCGCTGGCCCCCCTTCCCTGGCGCGCGGAGCGAGCCAGGGGCGGCGCCGGAGGCGCCACCAGGGCCCAAGCCCAGAGCCAAGAAATCCACGTGGAGCGTCGAAAGATTATGTTAATGTACTTTGCTCCTCTTCGATTCGCCCCCACCTCTAAGCACATCCCCCCCTAACGTTGCCCCTGAAGGAGGAGGGCGAGAGGAGGTGGAGCTGGAGGCCGCGCCAGAGCGTGGCTCGCAGCTCGTCGCCGGCCGCCATCGCGCACGCCGGCGCCGCTCGCCGAAGAGCCGGGAGAGGCGAGCAGGGCGACGCGTGCTCCCAGACATCGGGCGTCTCGAAAAAATCGAGACGGAGGTTCTTGCAGATGTTCGGCCTCTCGATGCCCTCACCGGGCCTCGGGACTGTCAAAGAACGACTCGGGATGGAAAACCGGTCCCGGGGAAGTGGTCGGGAGGTCGGGGGGCCGCGTCTCGAAAAATCGAGACGTCAAATGTCTGGACTCGCTGCTTCAAGCAGAGAGCATGCCTAGGCCTAGGCTACTGCTTATATGGAGCCCAGACCCCCTCGAGTCACAAGAAGAACACCACGGGCAGCGTTTCTCTGGGCTGATTGGGGCCCCTGGGGTGCCTCCCTGGGCCTCGGGACCGTCAAAAAATGCTCAGGATGAGAAACCAGTCCGGGGAAACGGGTGGAGACCTCCAGGGTCGACGTTATGAAAAAATCACGATGTCGGGGGTCTGGGAGTGGGGGGGAGGGGGCCGTGGCGAGGTCCCAGAAGGACATCTGAACTTCACGCAAGTGGGAACTCGCTTGCCAGCCAGCGTGGTGGCAGAGGAAGCGAACAGTTCTGTGGACGTCAGCGAATCTCCTGTGTCGGACGCAGTTGCGGCGGTGGCAGACCCATCGCCTGAGACTGCGTCAGAATCGGACATCGCATCGCCCGAGGCTGGATCTAGGTCGGAGCCGCTGCTGCTGCTGCTGCCAGCAGTCCCTAAGCCGCTGGTGCTGCTGGACACCGATCAATATTCTGAGGCTCAACCTGTGTCGGAGCCGCTGCTGCTGTCGCAAGACCCTGAACTGCTGCTACTGCCGTCAGACCTGAAACCGCTGCTGCTACTCTGAGACGGCGCTGCTGTTACCAGACCCTGAATCGCTGCTGCTACTGTTGCCAACCAGTGTGGCGGCAGCAGAGGCGATCAACTCGTCGGCCGACACAGACTCTCCTGTGTCCGCAGCATTAATTAGCGTAGCACTGTTGACTGTGCCAGATCCATCTCCTGAGGCTGCGTCTGAGTCAGAGCCGCTGCTGCTGCTGCCAGACCCTGAGCCGTCTCCGGAGGCTGCATCTGAGTCGGAGCCGCTACTGCTGGCTGCAGACCCTGAATCGCTGCTGCTACTGTTGCCAACCAGTGTGGCGGCAGCAGAGGCGATCAACGCGTCGGCCGACACAGACTCTCCTGTACTCGCAGCATGAACTAACCCAGCAGTGTTGACCGTGCCAGATCCATCTCCCGAGGAAGAGCCGAAGTCGGAGCCGCTGCTGCTGCTGCTGCCAGACCCTGAGCCGTCTCCGGAGGCTGCGTCGGAGTCGGAGCCGCCACTGCTGCTCGCAGACCCTGAACCGCTGCCGCTGCTGCCGCCAGACCCCGATCCATCTCCTGAGGATGAACCTGCGTCGGAGCCGCTGCTGCTGTCGCCAGACCCTGAGCCGCTGCTACTGCCGTCAGTCCCGGAACCACTGCTGCCGCCACCAGACTCTGAGCTGGCGCTGCTGGTACCAGACTGAGAATCGTTGCTGCTACTTCCGCCAGCCAATGTGGCGGCAGCAGAGGCGAACAAGTCGACGGCCGACACGGACTCTCCCGTGTCCGCAGCATTCGCAATGTCGACCGTGCCAGATCCATCTCCTGAGGCTGCGCCTGAGCCTGAGACGCTGCTGCTGCCGCTAGACCCTGAACCGTCTCCAGTGGCTGCGTCTGTGTCGGAGCCGCCGCTGCTACTGGCAGACCCGGAACCGCTGCTGCTGCTGCTGCTGCTGCTGCTGCTGCTGCTGCTGCTGCTGCCAGACTCCGATCCATCTCCCGAGGGGGAACCTGTGTCGGAGCCGCTGCTGCTGCTGCTGGCAGACCCAGAGCCATCTCCAGCATCTCCGGAGGCTGCGCCGGAGTCGGAGCCGCCACTGCCGCTGGCCGACCCGGAACCGCTGCTGCTGCTGCCGCCAGACCCCGCTCCATCTCCTGAGGATGCACCTGCGTCGGAGCCGCTGCTGCTGTCGCCAGACCCTGAGCCGCTGCTGCTGCCGTCAGTCCCGGAACCGCTGCTGCCGCCACCAGACACTGAGCCGGCGCTGCTGGTACCAGACTGTGAATCGTCGCTCGTGCCAGCCAGTGTGGCGGCAGCAGAGGCGATCAGCGCGTCGGCCGACAGAGAATCGTCGGAGGCAATGCCCACCGCTGCGTCTGAGTCTGAACCGCTGTCGCTGCCGCCTGAGGCTGAATCTGAGTCGGAGCCACTGCTGCTGCCCCCATTGTGCCCCCAGATGCTGCCCCCCGGTCTGTAAATTTGATCGTCTGGTAGCTCGTACAGTGTCCAACATTCGTTCGTCCCATACTCACACTCCTCGGTCAGGAGGAGGCAGCGCCCCTCCTCCGCACGCATGTACTGAGCTAGATGAGGGCACTTCTGATCCTGGTAGTTCACCGCGACGCAATTCATAGTGATGCGGCAATGCTGCACACAAAGATCTTCACTGTCCACCGTGAAGCTCTTGATCGAAGCCTCTTTCCAATTGTTGCACCCCATGTCCGCATGCACTGTGCTGGTGCCCACGCCGGTTGCCAACGAAGTGGCTCCAATGGCGGGCTCAACCTTCACGACGCGCGCGAGAAGAGGCCCCCGCACGAACGTGAGCGCAAAGAGAGCTGTGCACAACGCAGCGGCCGCGCAGACCGCGCTCTTGGGCACCGCATGGGAATGGCGGCGCAGCGGCGACGCCCAACCATGTCCGGTGGCCCCCGCAATCTCTCCGCCTTCGTCGCCAACACCATCGCTCGCAGACTCCAGCAAGAGACTCGGCGACTCGTCGACGGCGCCTGCCATGAGCGCGAAATACACTGCGGTTGCGGTGACCAGCCAAATGTGCTGGTCAGAATCGTCTGAGCCCTTGATCACCAAATCGACCACGAAGACGATGATGATATCACGACGATGGCATTAGTGATGGTAACAACGATTCGCCCAATCATGACAACAATACTTCTGTGAGCCCGGATTTCCGAATTACATTTGGGGTTTTCTATGTACGTTGATGGGGATGTCTGTATGGTGTAAGCCTCCAAGATGCTTTGAAGAGCCTGTTGAGGGCCTCTGGGAAACTCTGAAGAGAGCGAGCTTCTGGGAACCTCTGGAGAACCTCTGAAAAGAGAACATGTGGAAGACTCTGAAGAGGCTCCGTGTATCTCTGAAGAGCCCCAAGAGAGCATCTGAGAAGCTCTGCGAAGACTCGGGAGAGCCTCTGGGCGAGCCTATGGGAGAGCCTCTGGAATGTCTCTGGAGAGCTCGAGTGCTCTGAAGAGCCTCTGGGGAGCCTCTGGAGAACCTCAATTGAGCCTCCTGCGATTCTTGAGGGCTTCCGAAGGAAATCCTGATTCCTGAGAGGATTCCTAATGTCCCCCCTCACACGGACATTGTGCACCGGCCGATGCTATTACTGATCGTGATCATGCCGACGATGATGCCGGCTACGGCGACAAGGAAGATACTGGTAATGAGTATGATAGCGTTGCAGGTAACGATGATGATGGCACCGATGTGGATAATAATGGTTCTGAAGGTGATGGTGGTGACCGTGGTGACAATGGTGGTAAGGATGATGATGCTGATGCTGATGCTGATGCTGATGCTGATGACGATGATGATGAACATGATGATGACGATGACGATGATGATGGTGATGATATTGATGATGATGATGATGATGATGCTGATGATGCTGATGCTGATGATGATGATGATGTGAACTGTACCTGCGCTGTGGAGGTGCATGACACCATAATGCAGTCGGAATGGTGCTTGCATTGCTGAATTAGCACGTCGCGGTATCATTATGATTTCCGTCGCCTTGGTTCGGACTGTCTGGCATGGCTTTCCCTTGCGTTGCTGTGGATACGCTGCTGCGCTCGGAAACTTGGGGTCGATGCAAAAACACGTCACATCTGATGGCGTGTCCACTCACGTTGGCGGACACGGAGAAGATGAAACAGGAATTTAGAACAAAGAACAATTTCGAAAATGAGTAAGGAGAACACCACTAGATTATTGAAGCAACATGCGAGCCGTCATACACCGTCTTGCAAGCTGATTGCAAGCAATCGGCAGCATGATATCCACGAGAATTGGGAGAGCCCCACCAGGGGTACGCAGACAGGAGAAGGTAACAACTATGGTGAGAAGGAATGCAAGGGGGGGGGGAACAGCAAGAAGATATAGGAAGGGAGGACGAATGCAGGCGGCGTGCCATACACGCATCGGGCCGATCACATATGCGGAGGCCCCGGACACGACCACGGCAAAAGCCGCGACGACGCCTGCGCCGATGGCGACATCTGCGATGGCGACGATAACGGTGTTCAGAAAGGGTGCGAGACAAACTCTGCGCCATATATTTCACACATGACCCAATCTCTTGTTTGTTCACTGAGGGAGCCTCAAAGGACTCACACCAGAGAAATAGCCTGTCAATTGATGTTGGATAGTTTCGTGCTCAAAACATGCCGGCCGTGAGCCTGCAACATATCTGCTCTGCCTACTAGATGTATATACGTATATGTATCGATTATCTTATCGTATCGTAGGTTCCCTAGTCTCCCTGTCTCTCTCACTATCTCTCTCTCTCCCTCCTTCACTCACAAGATTCAAACGAATGTATTCCCTCAACTTCCTTTTGTGCAATCTGAGATTTCTTGCCTGTTCTCTACGATCTACTCCCTGCGCCTGCACGTGATCGATCAAGCCGCTGCGATCTACCCCCTACCCTGTAGGTGCTCCATAAACTCGCTCTACATCCTATGTGTAATCGATGTGAACTTTCTCTGCTCAGCCTTGCTGATATGCACTCTCTGCTCTCGACTCCGGTCTCTGCAGCCCGGATGCCCGGACTACGGAGCCCCAGGATCTGGTTATCCACCGGAATTTGCAAGAATGCTGCCGCCCACCGAGGCCAGCCCGGCACTCTCGTCCAATCTAGGAACCAGAAGACCACTTACCCAGCCGCCCACCAACGCTATCGCCCATTCCTTCTCTATCCGCTAGGACCCTGTGGGTGCAGGTGCTGATCGGGGAATTACCCCTGGGCAGAAGACGACCCTAAGCAAACAAATGGCGAAATACAAAGACCTCTTCGTATACTTTGAAGACGGAAGACCATACAGGAGAGCAAGCGGGAAATCCGAAGGAAGACAACACGGGGGAACATGCCAAAGCAAACCAAACAAGATAACCTGCAGAAGAGCAAGCAATGAGACCCTAGGGGAGACAATACGGGAGAACGTGCCAACAGAAAACCAAACGGGATAACTTTTTTTTGCCGAAATCACAAGCCACTGCTGACGGCCACTGCGCCGGCTTCAAGCCCGCGCCCAGGCCGGCGACGCCTCGCAGAAGAGGAAGCGCTCCTCCTCTGGGGACACAGGCATGGACCATGGCCGCCGCTTCGGCCCGGCGCAGCAGCGGCCGGTGGCAGCGCAGCCCGCGGCGCCGCGCGGCCCGCAGCGCCAGCGTCCGGAGCGCCGCCTGCGCCTCCGGGTGGGCGCGGCCGTAGGCGGACCAGACGATCGGCACGTACGTGATGCCCGCCGCCGCCAGCTCCGCGAGGTGGCTGCCGTAGTCGTCGAGCTTGCGGGCGCGCATGGCCTCGCAGCAGTCCTCGCCAGCGCCTTGAGCCTCCGGGCTGCACACGCCAACATCCAGAGCCGCCAGACGACCCACGAGGGCCGCGCTGGTCAGGACATCTGCAGGGCGGAGCAATGGTGTTGACGGTATCAGCCCGGGAGATTCGGCTTCGGCGCTGGGGTCGGCCAGGTGCGCCAGCGCCAAAACGTGCTCGCGAACCTCGTAATGGCCTCGCGTGGCCTCTGGGGTGGCGCACTGGAGAGCGTGGGAGCACGCCCGGTCGAGCGTCCCTGTGCCGCACCGCGGGCACGGCATCTCGACGTCGATGGCGGGGGCGCCAACCCGCACGCGCGCCGCGGTGAGGTACTCCCCATGCCCGAGGGTCGGGCCGTGCGCCGGATTGAAAGCCCAGAGCCAATCGTGGCTCACAGAAGGGTCCCGGAGCTCCCGCAAGCGGCGGCAATCGACATCGCGGCCAGCCGCGGCGAGGTCGGCAGAGAGGCTGTCGGCCGCGACGCCGTCGGCCACGGCGCACAGGCGAGACTGCAGACGGCCGTCCGGGGCCCGCTCGGGGTCTTCTGCGCCGGCTGGCAGGATGAGGCCGTCCCCGGCCAGCAGCGCGCCCTCCGCGCGGCCCCTTGGGCGTTCGCCGCTCGCGGCCCAGTCGTCGACCGCGGCTTGGGCCTCCTCCGCGGCAGCCGGGGGCAGCCTCGCCTTGAAGGCCTGCAGAGCGGAGGCGGCCTGCGTGTCGAAGCGCTCCAACACAGGGATCCCCTCGAATCCCGCCGCGGCGAGGGCCTCGTGCAAGCTGGCCACGTGCACCCGCGACTCCAGGCGGGAAGCAAAGAAGGCTGGCAGGGCCACGTCGCTGGCCCTGCGAAGGCCGAGCCCTCCCTCGCAGACGCCCACAGAACACTGGGCCAACGACGCCTCGTCGAGCGGCCCGCCGAGCAGGCGCGTCGTTGCGCGGCGGAGCATGCCGTCGTAGCGAGCCAGCGCCTCCTCGCTGAGGGTCGGACCAGCTGCGCGGAGCAAATGGACCACCTTGCAGACGTCTGCGCAGCGCCGCATCAGCACGAGCTCGGCGGACGTGTCCTCCAGCAGGCCCAGCGCGTCGTGCACGGCCGCAACCTTGTCCGCTGCTGCGAGGAACTGGTCGCTGACCGTGCCGCCGCCGAAGTCGACGCCGAGCACGTGGCGGTCTGGCCCGTCTGCCGGGGGGGCCACCGACGCCAGGACGTAGTCCGTGGCCCAACGAGGGCGCGCCGCGGCGGCGACGCCCGGCGGCGCGATGACCGCCACGACCGACTTTGCGTGTTCTCCTCGGCCACGCGCCGCCCCGGCAACGGCGGCCTCGGCGTCGAACGCCCGCAGCCACGGATCCACGCTGGAGCTGCGGGTGACGATCTGGCCGTCGTCCATGAACCACACGTCGGCGAACTGCACGCCCCCCTGGGCGCGGGTGCGGGCCAGGACCCGCGCGAGGGCCAAGGCGCACAGCAGCGGCCCAAGCGGGTCGCCCTGCTCGGCGCCGCGGTCCACGAGCAGCGACTGACCGGACGGCAAAATCACAGTAGAAGGCTCGCGATGCATCCACGAAGTCCAGGGCAGAAGAGCAGGGAGCTCCTCGGCGACGGCGGCACGGATGTACGACCACTCCAAGGAAGGAAACGCATTTTTCAGGTCCACGTCGATTACAGCCAACGGGTCGCCGTCAGGGTGGCCGCAACCCTCCTCCAGGAGCTCCTCCAACACAATGCGCTAATGGACGAGGGCGTCTGTGCCCGCCGGCACGCCGACCCCGAACTGCCGCGCAGCTAAGCACCGCGCCTGGATGGTCTCCCGGTGCGCGTGGATCAGCTTCTTGCGCCCGAGAACAAACGGGGAAACTAACACATACGTGAGACATTACGGGAAAGCGCACGTGAGATTGCACAACAAATCAATAATGATTGGAAAGGCGAACGCCCCCCCCCCCCAGTTCCGACCCCACTCCAGAACCCGCGACCCAGGGGGTCGGGACTGGGGGTGGGGGTGGGCTTTTGGGGCCCAAGAATGGAGAAAACCCACCCCCGCCCCCAGTCCCGACCCCTGGAATCGCCGGCTCGGGGATGGGAGTCGGGAGTGAGGGTGGGGGCGACTCTTCGCCTTCTGACTGATCACGTGCGGGAGACCGTGACACGGCAGATCCGACGGGAGAACAGCCAGGA